TATTAATTCTAATTAATTATTTTGACTCCCTCGATTACTTGAAATTAGGGTTGACTTTCTATACATGACAAGATTATGTTCAAGGAGAAATTGATGTGAAAATACATGATGATGAATATTAATCCTATATATTTTACAAGTATATATATATTCTTCTTATAATACATAGTAGCCAGATTATAACTATATGAATTATTGATTTTTCTGTAGATTAATTCGTTTATTGTGCTAACAATGCAAGCAATTTATTAAGAAGCTTTCTGAGATTATAAGCACGTGGATCTCATAAACCGTGTAATTAAAAAGTGAATAAAAATTATGAATTCGGGAAAATATATGGTTAAAAATAAAGTTTGACCATCATCTAATCTAAAAAAAAAAAAAGGACTTTTGTCAAATAGAGGCAAAGTTTGGAGTAATACCATGATTCTAATGTAAAATAGATATTCGATCTTGATCACTCATAGAACTATTTTGTAAGTTCCTAAAATCAACACAATAATAGGTAAGTAATAACTAACTTAATGCTAGATTGTCAAAATTTTCTTAAATGTGTTAAGAAATTAAACGAGAACTTAAGGAATTTAGATATTTCACAAGTGTAGGATTTTTCTTTTGAGAGGTCATTTTCATAGTCAATTTTGTGGGATTTAGTTAATTATATGTTTCTATCTAGTACTTTTTCTACTTTCATTATTCATTCACTTCTTATAGATCAAGTTGTATCGTGTTTCAACGATTACACCTATTTAATTATTCATTCATCTTCCGTCTTTGTTGGTGGAGAGGGGGGTGGAACACACATATCGTAGATTTTTGTTTTTCAGTATAATTTTAATACATATCAAAACAAATACACGCCTAAGTTCGAGTCTCAATATAAATGAAATGTAATGTATAAAATGTATAAGAAATGATTTTTCATGATGTAGTTGAAATTTTCATAATCGATTTTTTTGCTAAAATCTTCTTTTTAACAAAAAAAAAAAACTCGTTGCGTAAAAGTATCAAATTTTTTACTCTCATAATACGTTGTTGTATTCTAGATACATCTTTAAAAACATAATCAAACTTTGACTTTATTTATTCATAAAAAATGACTTTTAAAATAACATCACGTCCAATATGTAACAACTCATGATCCAGCTAATTGTGCTACTTTTTTTAAATTCACGTACATAGCTGTTTTTTCTATTTATTTTTGGCTTGCATAGATTAATTAGGGTTGACTTCTGAGATTCCCCATGTGATCTTAATTAAATCTCATTTTTTTTTTCATAATTATTCCATTAAGACATCAAATTTCATCTTTAAACATCAACATTATTAAAATGAGTAACACAACTTTATATATTACTATCGTTAAGCACGTGCGTTGCACGTCTTATGTATGGAATGAATCATTTTTTTTTATGAAATTACGCACGTAATGGGAAAACGTTAAATAAATTAAAATGTAATATTTTGTTTACTTATTTGTTTATGCTAGATATTGGTTGGAACCCTATTTTCAGCCATTATAGCAGTATCGACCAGCTTTTTGGTATAGATGGACACAAAGATTAATCGAATTAAGAGATGTACATTTGATTAAGTTTAAAATGTTTACTTAGAAGTAAACTAAAGGTACATAAATGATTTTCAAAATAAAAAAATTACTCATTTTGTCTGTAACATAAACTTTTTTACCTTAAAAAGTTAAACAAAAAAAATATTATATCTAAACAAAATTTATTATTTAGTTTGAAACTTGACATCTACTTCTAATCATGTTTTACGCTTTTTAGAACACTGCTAAAATGATAATTTTGCTTCCATTTCACACAAATTAAGAAAACTTAATTAATATAGTTGGATTTTATAAATTTTACTTTTGTTTTTCTAAGTATACCCTTACATTTAATAATGGTAGTTCCGATAACAACACATAAAGAAAGAAAGCCTATTTTTATGCAATATAGGAAATAGATGGAAAAACCACATAGGCTAGAGTGTGGAAACCTCACGGTTTGCATACGGACAATTTCGGTTTTCAAAATAGTTTGCATGTGGACATTTATGATTAGTACAGCCATAATTTATATTTAGTCAAATTAAAAGGTTACGTGACAAATTAAATATAATATAGTATAATATAATATGATATGTTGTTATATAATGAGTTACGCTACCTGTTCGTGTAGATTTTATATATGTAGAGTTGAGCCATCTCTGTATTGCATTTCAACTCTCAGCATACAAAGTAAAATTCTTTGTTAATCTTGAGCTCCTGTACTTCATAATCAGCATTTAGTCCCTTCAGTGAAATACATACGGTGAAGCTGTTGAGGTAATTCAATAACAATATTAGTACAATTATTCTTGAAATGTTATCACAATATTCTTTATATCATCGACCATTCTAGTTGTGCCAATATTCTTGGTTACATTCTAACTCGACCACTTTTTAATTAATAGCCAGCTATCAGTTCTCAGACACCTGCAAAACATGGATAACCAGATTGAAATTTCAGTTCAAAGTCCAAATACCAATGCCAACACACATCAGGCTGATCATCAAAGTAAGTTTTTGAATTTTGTTTTTCACTTCATGAATTGAGCAAACTAGATACATTTTTCTAAATAAATGCAATACTTACATTAGCTTTCTTTCAAGTGGTAGTGGTACAATTTCAAATCTTATATTCTAGAAAATGAAGACTTCAATTCTTGATAGAGTATAGTAACCATGGCTTTTCTCTCTCAGTTCCAAGCATTATATCCATAAAATATGACATCCCTACTCAAATTACATTGTTGATGAGATAGTCTTTTTCATCTATATTATAATCGTTTCTTTTTTAGTTTTCCAGTACGTGTATATATGCTATTGAGTCTTTGGATATCATCTTAAAAGGTCAACATATTTACTAAGAGAGTAGCCCATACCCATGTATATCACATATTATTTTCATATTTAGCTAATGTGGGATTTTACCCTTATTATGTTCCACAATATGGTGTTTCATTTGTGAACAGCAATATTTGAACTCGAATTATTCGTTTGCGCTTCATAAGCTCTGATAGGATGATGAACCACTCGATTTCCTTTAGTGTACTTGTAACGGCTTAACATTTGTGCCCAAATCATTAACTTACACACTGTCCGTTCTCGGAGAGACTAGCTCAACACACCCCTCACGAATTTTTGTCATGTCCCTAAGATTTGAACTCATGACATTTTTCTTAAGAGAGACTTAAGTTAAATTTTGGTACCAATTGAACAACTTCTCCAATTAGTATTAGATATCAACTTAAGTTTCTCTTAAGGGGATGCCATTTATTCGAATCTTGGGGACACGATGTTATAGAAATTCGTGAGGGATAAGTTGGACTCGGGCTCTCCTAGAGCGGATTGTACGTGAGGTTGGATCGTTAGTATATCAAGTGGTGATGATTGTCTACCTTATGTACACTGGTTCATCTCTCCTTTGGTTTTGTACGTGCTACATAGTATTTCTTGTGAAGTTGTGAAGCACTATGCATTTTTAACACAATAATGATGGTCTCCCCGAACATCATCAGGAAGAGTAAACACTTTACACAAAGCTGCTCTAAAAGGTGATTGGAAGGCTGCTAAAAGTTATGTGAGTTCGGACCAAAAAAAAAATTGGAATATTGAGATAACAAAAGATAGAAATACGGCTCTTCACATAGCTGTGTCTGCCAAGCAAACTGCTTTTGTCCGCAATCTAGTCGAATGCTTGAAAGAGAGTGACCTGGAATTGAAGAATAAATATGGATATACAGCTTTCTGTACGGCAGCTGCATCAGGGGTCGTAGAAATTGCAGAGGTCATGTACCATAAAAACAAGAATTTACCTAAAATTTCAAGTAAAAAACTTGAAAGTGAAAGTGGATTTTCCCCACTTCAAATTGCAATTTGGTTCAGAAAGAAAGGAATGGCAGAATATCTTTACCCAATTACACCTCTTGAAGGTCTCGTAGACAAGGAATATATGGATATTCTTGTAGAAGCGATCCGCGCTGACATGTATGGTATGAAATTTTTTTCATTTTAAAGAGATGCACATAAAATTATGTTTCTTCTTTTTGTTCAAGTGACGATTATTTTCACATATTAATACGCTTGTTTCTTTTTTTGAGCAGATATTGCTTTAAAGATGTTAAATGACAGTACAAGAATAGCTACTTCAACAACGATAAGCACAGAAAAAGCTTTACAAGCTTTAGCTCAAAAAGATCTATCATACAATCACAAATTTCAAGGACGGATATGGGAAAGACTCGTTAGCATCCTTGCTACTATACCTTGTATTCCATGTAAGTCCATAAACTTTTCTCACTCTTCTCCACAAGTCAGACCACTCATTTATACTTGATGAAATTTCTACTTTCTAGATAAAATTTATCCTTAGATTATTGCCTCATTGATGATGATATAATTTTGTCCTTATTACTCTTGCACTTCAAAATATGTATTTGGTCATGTTATTGTATCTTATTATATATCTTCTGGTTTTGAGTTAGGGTTATTATACAAATAGAAACTTTTTTTTTTTCTACTTCTCGAAGTAGGCTCTAATATTAGGATATTCATTAAATAAATTGGAATTAACAATGCTATGGAGGAAGTATTAGGAGTAATCATTGGAGATCTTAAGTAAAGTTGATGTTGGGAAGAAAGAAAAAAACTATATAGAGTTAAAATATTAATTTCCCAATATACGCATCAACCGTTCCCACAAGGAGTTTTAATTCGTTAAAACAGAATCAATAATATAAATATTTTTAAACTGAATTTATCATGGAATGTGTGTTGAAGCTTCTTCAATTGTACCCTTAATCTTCAATTATTTTTTACCTCTCAAATGATAATTGAATAGAGGTTCTTATTATCCCACCTTGCATTAATATCTACTCGAACTAAACAAGGATGCATTTCAGAACTGTCAAGTGAATTCCAGTTTACTCCTAGTTTTTTGAAATCTTTGAGTTTGTAGTCCACATGTTAATTTTGCTTAGATGTTTAGATTTCAAAAGGATACATAGCTCACTTCAAACGCGGAGACAAGCCAGTAAGTTGGTAATGCAGATGACATTACTGGACTCCAGCATCTTAATTCAAGAGACTCAGATACTTCACGATGCTGCAAAAATAGGGAATGTTGAATTTCTCACTCTGATTACTCAATCATTTCCTGGACTTACATGGAATCTCGACTCAAAAAAGTACACCATATTTCACGTTGCTGTTATTAACCGACAAGAGAAAGTGTTTAGTCTCATCTATCAAACAGGAGCTGCTAAGGATTTTAATACATATTACAGTGATGATGATAAAAACAACATTTTGCACTTGGCCGGGAAAATAGCACCTCCAAGCAGACTCAATATTGTATCTGGACCAGCTCTTCAAATGCAGATAGAGCTACTATGGTTTAAGGTGAGAAATGAACAAGGTTACAAGTTCCCCTCCCTTTTTTTCTCTAAGAGAAGAGTAACACCTTGTAGCATCACGGTAAATTGTATCATGAATATATGTGTACATATCGTAGTTCTTGGAAGTCCTATAGACTATTCTATGTAATACAAAAATTGAATTTTGGATGATTTTGCATCATACATTAATTTGAGTAAGTTTTATAGGAGGTGAAGAAGATTGTACGGCCTTTTTATGTTCAAGCAAAAAACAAAGAAGGCAAGACACCGAGGGAGTTGTTTACGATGGAGCATGAGAACTTACGGAAAGCTGGTGAGAAGTGGATGAAGGACACATCAACTTCTTGCATGCTTGTGGCAGCTTTAATTGCCACAGTTGCATTTGCTGCCGCCTTTACTGTGCCAGGTGGCAATAAGGGAGAAACAGGATCTCCAATTTTCTTGACTGATAGGTGGTTCAAAGTTTTTGTTATATCTGATGCTGTGGCAATGTTTAGCTCGATAGCTTCCATAATGATGTTCTTGTCTATTTTAACTTCACGTTATGGAGAAGATGAATTTGAATTTTTGTTACCAGCAAAGTTGATGGCTGGACTGAGTACACTCTTTGCTTCAATCGTTTGTATGGTCTTAACATTTAGTGCAACCTTCTTTTTGGCCTACAAGGAAGAAAAACAAGGGACATTGCCGAAACTTGTTGCTGCTCTTGCTGTGCTTCCAATCACTTTATATGCAGTGCTAAATTGTAGGTTATGGATTGCCTTATTCCGATCAACATGCTGGACATCAAGGTTTATGTTTCGACCTGGTAAGCACAAGCTTTTCTAATAAAAGGACCCACGATACTATGAAGAAATCGCCTATTGCAGAAAATTGTGGAAGACTGTTGAAATTTGAAGCTCGCCGACTTTTTTGTAGAAAAATCTCGACATTTTGGAGAAGTAGCCACCGCTATTCTAGAACCATCCATCACCGCTGGTCTTGATTCTCAATAAAATACACAGGCCTATTGACTTCTTTTATTCTTTCTTTTTATAACACGTTATCAGCAC